TTTTGCCACATTTTTAACTTTTCATAAACAGAATCACACCACACATATTGCTCAGCAGCTTGTCCCGCCCAGAACTGGGTTGTAATGTTCACCTCTGTGGATGCGCTTCATTTTCACCACTGTGTGGCAGTGCCTGTGGGTGGCAGCACCCGTGGGTAACAGCGCCCGTGCTATTTATTTACCCACTTGACTGTCAGTAGGCACGTGGGCTGTTTCCAGTTAGGACTTAATAGAGCAGTGCTGCCAGAAATTCTCAGACAGGTCTCTGGGTTTTAATACGCAAGAAGCCCTCTGACAGTTCACAGCTGGGTGCTCAGGCGTGTTCATTTGTTCTTTTTCAACTTTACTCTTTAAGGACAATTTGCTTCCTAAAGTGCACTACCAGCTACTCTTCCACCTGCAGTGTATCAGAGTCCCTGTTGCTCCACGTCCTCACCAAGCCTTGATGTCACCTTTGAAACTTCTTCACATTTTTTAAAGATAATTCCATTCTTGTCCACTGAGGGGTGTGTGCACACAGCACAGCATTAGTATTTCATTATCAGTGTCAACGTGGGTATTACTGAGGTCATTACAAGAAAGTAAAGCTACTGAGCAGCAAACGTACCATCAGGCATGCCCGACTTGTGATGGCTGCTCCTGAATATGAAATAATGATTCAAATTCAGGATAAAACAACATGTGCTATTGTGGAAATGAGCCTGCATCCCCAAAACCATCAAAAAATAAACCGCTTGAAAAATTCATGGTTTCTCCATAAGCAGGTTCTGTTGCATATGCTTTAAATATGCAGTTCCTGGAAGGCTCCGTTTACTACCATCGATATAGATCTTTAGAACTGAACAAAATGTCACAGTGCCCCAACTGTGCTCAGTTTGCTACTTCTCACAAGCAAAGCGTCAGGGGTCCCTGAAGCTTTACTGGGTTTTACATCAACGTTGTGCACAGTGACCCGCAAGCCTAAAAGGGCCCACTGCCTGGAGAAATACACGGGGAGACTTCTAGCTCTTTTCCTTTAGGTGGATTGTGAACCAAAAAGCAGGACTAAGATCACTGTTGCCCAAGAGAGAGCTCGGCTAAAATACATGACACTCGGTGACAGCAGGATTCAGTCACGGTGAGGCTGTGAAAGGGTTTTCTAAACCTCGCCTCGTTCTGTGCACGTGGCAGTTGCTGT